TAACTTGCATTAATGATCAGAACAACATCATAATTAGATTGTATTTTTCTGCTGTGTTTTGTTGACTTTTAGCTCCAGTCATATCTGTCGGAGCCAACGCTTCACATAAGCCCGTCCACTGGAATACGAGAGAAGCAACCAGTCCCGTTTTGAGTGCATGGCCCAACTTGCTCGGTAATATCTGTCAGCGCTTGTTTTCTGCTGCTGGACACGTGATGACCGAGGAAAGAAACAGACTTGCATGTGAAAAGGCAGAGATGCTGCTTCTCATTAAAAAAAAATCTTCCCCTGATCCATCAAGAGGTAGAAGGGTAGATAAATAGTACAGGAACCAAAGGTTGAGTGTTGAGAATACTGTGCAATATCAGGTCAGAACATGTGCCACTTTTTTGAAGTATTAAAATCTCTCTCTCTCTCTCTCTCTCTCTCTAACCTCATTTAGGTTAATTTGAATGGAACCAGAAGCCATTTTTGTTACTATGGAATGGACTTTTTTTGTTTGTTTACATAGAAATGATTGAATCAAACTTGTGTCGGTGCATCAATTTTCTGTATGTATTTATTTTTTTGATCTTCTGGAATGCATTTTTTTAAGTTTGTAATCCCGATGCATGTATCTGCATCAGTTCAAGGGGCCTTGCCAATAGTTTTCATTGGAAAAAATGAATATCTCCATTTAAAGAGTCAAAAGTGTTTTTGGGTTTGTTCACAGTATTAAGGTCATGATCTTAGGTCATGATCATATATATATGTTGTAGCAGGTTTGACTAGATTTAATGTTGGGGTGCCAGTCAGAGTCAAGTCCGACAAAGTAAACTAAAACAGAACAAAAATAGTTTGGTTAACCCACACAAAATAATAACCAGGCAGATCAAACACAGCAATAAACCACAAAAGCAATAAAACAAACCAGCAATGCAATTTCCACAATATATATTTTCAGAATTATTGTCCACAGTGCAAAAAAGAAGAAGTCGTGCAGTGTGAGTGCGCCTCAGTCTGTCTGTTAATCCCAGTTCAGTCCATTCGGGAAAAGTCCGTTCCAGTATTCCACAATACCACAGTTCAGTCCAGTACATGCGTCACCACAAAACAACAACTCAAAACTGCGCTCCGGGTTCTACTGCGGACTCCAACACAAAATAAGGAAATAAACTCAAAATAACTAGCGTCTCTCGTCGCGGTGCAGCAAACAACACACACAAAACAAAAATACCGAAGTTTTTAAAGTTAGTCAGTCGGTCAGAGTCGGACTTTTCTCCACTGGAACCGGCATCTCCCAACTCCGGGGACATCTGATCCGACAGGGAAATAAACACATCCAACAGGCAATCGTGCCGATGGAACTCCAGCGAGGATGTAGTACACAAGACAGCTATATCGCGGACTTCAAAACACGCTTAATGCCGCTGTCACACTTCTCCTCCACAGACTCTCCTTCTGACTCTTTTCCCCTCGTTCACCGGTGACTTGCACTCAAATAAATGCCCTTCCTGGAGGACGGATTCAAACTGCGCGGGGATCGTGGATTATTTCCATTGGCGTAGGAGATGAATGTGGGTGGATAACGGAGGAAGCCATGAATGGAGGTGTGTTTGAATGGAAAGGTGTGTAGCTATGTGATTCTGACTTTGCGGGCGCTACAATGTATGTGTGTGTTATCGGTTATTGGTATCGGCCTTTAGGAGCTGAAAGTTATCGGTTATCGGTATCGGTTTTAAAAAACTTATCGTGCATCCCTAGTAACTCGGACAAATAATGAATGAAATAGCAATGAAAAGAGTGTAATAAAATTAATTTGTTTTGACCTTAAACAGTGTGGTGTGGTCAGTGTTTTAGGCTAGGCTATAGGCATACAAGCTTTCAAATGTTCCATCACTTTTTAACTTCCTGGCTGTCGATAAAGCAGGATATTCATTATAGGCTAATTAATTTAGGGCATTACATTTTCGTATGCCTAGCAATCATTTTCTATGCTTAATAATGATTGAAATTCCATTTAAATTACGTTGATCCTTAGTTCAGTTGAAATTTCAACATTGTTTCAATATTCCTGATAATTGAAATACCATTGAAATTTCAACGGAATTTCAACGTTTTTTCAATATTAAAAAGGGTGAAAAATGATGTACTTCAGAGTTCGATGTTGATTCAATGATTTAATGTTGACAACGTAATGTTGATTTAACATAGTTTCAATGACTGTTTGCTATCTGGGTAGGGATTACAAGAGGTGGTGACATCACCTGCCACCAAGACCAGCAAACTGTGTTAAATGTTGGCTTTATTGTATATTCCAGTTTCTCTGTAGGAAGTACACATACCAAATTGTACAATGAAGTTGGGTACAATAGGTTAACGCTCCACAAACAAATACATAGAATTAGTACACAATGTAGAAGCAATTAAGCCAATTACAGTTTGATTGTAACTGATTATTATCTAGATTGTCATTATTACATACTTCAGTCACTGCAGCTTCACTTTCACTTTTTGAGTGCAATGCTAAATTTTTGTTATGTTTATATGCAACATTGTCTAATGTATTCATAAAAATTTTTTTTAGCAAACATTGGAACCAAGAAACGGCTTCATGACCAAGTGATGACAACAAAGTGACTGCAGGAGGAAAAAAGCATTCTGGTGATGGAGATGGTACAACACTGCACATGGTTGCAGAACATGGCATTGGTTCAAAAAAGTGAAATAATGGGATGTGATTGCAATAGTGCTGTCAGTTAAACGCGTTATTAACGGCGTTAACGCAAACCCATTTTAACAGCGTCAATTTTTTTATCACGCGATTAACATTCTTTTTGACCTAGCACACTTTGTAGTTTTTTTACATGCTGTTGCAACTAGTAACGTTAGAAAAACTACAACACCACACCGGATCTAGCTAGACCGGAAACAAAACAACAGGCACGCCGCACACACTTGTTTAAGAGTAGTAGACGTTACGTTTTGAGTGGATGGCGAGTGCGAGACACCGAAACGGATGGATTCCTTGTTGTCTGAAAATGTCAACAGGCTTGTCTGTTTGAGTAACTGGCTCAAAGCAAAGTAGTAGTAGGCTTACCTTTTATTGGTAACTGTTACTGTTCATTCTTTCTGAAATAAGAGGCTGGGTTGAGCCTCTGGTGAATAAAGAGCAGTAGCCTGACTGCTATGTTCACAGCAAACTTGAGAAAAGTATTAAGCCATGGTTTAACCGCACTATAGTCCTAGTTTACCTTACATGTGCACTTTGTAATTTTATTTTGTATCGCCCTGTTTTGATCCCTTAGAAAGGGCTGTTGAAGGGGCTGGTTGTGTGACAAAGTATTTTTTTCACCCTTTTATTGATGGACAGTGTGACATTGTTTGAGAGATTATTTGCTCCAAGTGAGAATGTTAGTGTGAAATTGAACACTACAGTATATGCCAATGTTGTTTTCAATAAAAAACATTTGCACAAAGCAAGCCTATCCACTTTTCCATGTTGATAAGAGCATTAAAATGAGAAAAAATAATGGGACAAAAAGACATAAAGGGACATTTAGAATAGATAAAAATGTGCGATTAATTGCGAGTTAACTATGACATTAATGCGATTAATCGTGATTAGATAAATTGCAAGTATAATCATTCTGTATTTATGGTTATTTTCCTCATGTTCTTTTGCTATTACCTTTCATCAACTAACACTAGCACATTGTTTTTAAATAAGATGATGTATGGAAAAGTAAAACCAAAAATGTTCATCTTTGACAATTTATTTATATTTCATAACAACAGAAAACACAACAATCCAATAATATGTCACTTATATTAGCAAACAATATGAAGTACAAAAAAACTAAAAACTAATTCAATAATTGAAGAAAATCCTTTGGTTGCCAGGAATGGGCCCACTCCTTACCACTGAAAACAGAAGGGATTTTTGTCTGTTACTGGTACTTGTTGAGTCTTTCCAATGAACTTAAACCTTTAAACATGAGTCAAGCGCACATCAACAAAACACAATCAAAACAAATCTTAAACACACTGAAGTAAATCAATTATACATGCAAAAAATTAGACTACTGGAGCTAGGATAGCCTGTAGGTGTGGACGTTTGTGAAGAATTTGTAAACTCTCGTGTTTGTTCTCCAACATGGGACTAGAAGAAGCAGAAAAAAAGCTGAATATATACCATACTGGACAGGGCTCCCAGTCAACCAAGATTTCTTCTTTGCCCTATAAAGAGAAAAAAAATCATTAATTCCATTCTTAGGATTAAGCTATTATTTTTAGCAGTAATCATCGATTTTCATTGATACAGTGGGATTGTAGTTCATATTTACAGTGTTTTTTAATTAATTTTTCAGTACAAAATATGTTTTAAAGGAGTCATCACCTGGTGTTTTAACATATCTTGTCTCTCTTTGATTGTCTTCAAATTATTTTTTTAAAATAATTTTGACTGGTCCGGAGGCTCATTGTTATGATAATGAGGCTGATTGAGAGGCTGCTTGTGAGAGGGAAGCCTCCGCTGCCTCTGCCCCGCTTTGCTGTCGGCAGAAGAGCGGGGTCTCCCACTTGCTTTCCCCCTGCTCTGCTGTTGGATAAATATAAATTATTTCGGATTTATTGGAGACAAATATGAATAATTTATTCCTCTGGATGTCTTCATCTGTATGTTCTGCTTCGAGTGTGTATATGTGTGTGAATGTCGGGGGTGGTGGTAGAGAGGCCAGGCTTCTGCAAAGAGCAAGAGGTTTTCATTCTGGTCCTGAGCTGACCTCTTGTTTTGGGTGCGCACCCTTGTGGTTTCAACAAAGAGGCCAAACGAAAAAACAGAACCACTTTCAAACTCCAAATTTTCAGGCAAGTTTCAACTGAGGTCCAACTACAATATACATGTATTAACAAGGAAAAAATTGTTTTCCAGGTGATGACTCCTTTAATCTAACTCACAAGGAATTTTCACAATTCTAATAATCATAACCCTCTACGAATTATTTTATTGCTGTGTTACATTTCTCACTCTTTCTTTTACAACTCGTCTGATGGGGAAAGCCTCTAGACGAGAGTGGTAGGAGCAGTCTGTGAACATCAAAAACATGTACATATATTTTTAGATTAGTAACAAAATAATACAACCCTGATGACTTAAAGCAGAAATAAGTGATATATTTTTGTTAATATAAGTGTTAAATAATTCTATAGTCCTACACTCATCAGTGATTTAGAGTGTTTGGTCATTGACCTGGGTCTCCCAGTCCCTGTGCTCTGCAGTAAATGGAAAAGAAATGTGTAGAGTTCTCCATCCTGATTGGCTGAAAGAGGGAACAGAACACCAGAAAATGTATTTTCTGTTTACTACAGAGTGGAGGACCCCATGTTAATGACAAAACACCCTAAACCACTGATGGCTGTCACAATGTAGAGATATGTAACGCTTACATAATTCTTTTTTGTTTTTTTGCTAAATGCAACCACCTACAGCACCGTTAAGTTGCAATCAGACTTTGGTCTAATGACACACATAAGGCCTGTTGGAATTTTATAGGTTGTCTGTTATGTTAATTATAACTAATAATTAAAATTATAATAATAATCTGTAGTAAGTAGTTACAAAAAATAAGCAATGAAACTATGGAAAATAACCATGGGTAAAAATAGTAATGTTATTACACTGACAGAAGGACTGATAACCGAGGCATTCTCACAATTGGTGATGGGGTGCATTTACATGGATATTTTTAGAGTAAGGTAACACATGTAAACCATTACCTGATTTCCAGCCATAGCCTGATTAATCATAATAGTCAGATTTCTTGTGGGTAAGTAAACATATTGACTGACCTGTCTGTGCCATGATGATTAAAAACATGAAACATTTAAACTTACTTATTGGTGTCTTTTTCCTCACAGGCAGATGCTTTGGTGCCTCTGTGGAATAGAAGATTACAGTCCAGTCATATGTCCACACCAAAAAACAAATAACAAAAATACTATCTCACAATTCTTAATTCTTTCTCGTTCTTTTTGATTAATTAAATCCCATGAGAGAATCAGCTTGACAAATGAGCTATGGTTATAAATAGTAATCAGAATACCAATTCAATTCATTGAAATATTATAACTACCCTAAAAACTATATTTACGTACCTGACGTTTTCTTTTTTCGTCTTGGATTAAGCACTGTGCCCGTGTCTGACCCTGTGGAGACAGATATAGTTTTGGAGAGGGAAATTAGTCATATACCAAATTAAGCTTTAACTATTCAATTCAAAGACTAGAGCATCACACCACAACTCAAATGCAGCAGTACAAGTAGGTAAATTAGTAGGTGTCCATACTGTATTTGGTTATCCCAATTTGTTTCAACAAGTGCTGATCCTTCATTTCTGGCTTGGTCAGGGAATGCAAGGGGTGAGTAAATGGGTCAAAACAGACAGGGCTGATCCTGTGGTGAGTTTACCAGATGTACAGATTTTCAGTACTCTACCCACCTCTGCTCTGCTTCTCAACAGTCTGCACCTCCTCAGCATTCTGCATATCTTTGGGGTTCTCCACCTCCTCAGCATTCTGCACCGGGCTTAGGCTTAGGGCTCGCTCTGCATGAGCCCTGATCAGATCAGACCTGTAGGCTGCAGCAAATAAGAAAAAAGACACTTGTAATGTGAACACTGACAATGTTGAACATTTTATTTTATATGTAAAATAATAGTTCAATGAAAATTCAGTCATTATCTACTCAACCTCAAGCTGTTGAGAAATATAGGATGTAATCTCCTTAAGCGCATCAGACCACTTGAAGTAGTTTGCATTGTATTCCAGCAGAGGGTGCTTCTATCAGATTTACCTATAGCCGGCCCCTCTTAACAGCTCTTGGCCTGCAGCCTCTCAGTCAAAGCAGCACAGTAAGCTAATCTGCTTCGAGAATGGATGATAATAGTGAAGAGAGCTGACCTGGTCGGACAGTCACGGCGCCAAAACACCTGAAAAGCAGCGTGTGAAGTATTTTGGGTTTTACACAGTGGATGGCAAAGTCACGGCAAGCTCTACTTTGCACAAAACAGCTATCCCACCATTTATTTTTAGATTTGTTCAAACTAGATTATTTTTTTTAAAGTGACAGCACTAGTACAGGACAGGTAAGAGGAAAATTATGTATTTTTGGCCTAGAACTGTTGGGTATTTGGTTTAACAGCAGACACTGTTTATATTTTAGAACATAACATGAAAGTGACCTAAAACTCTATGGGTAAAAAGTTCAAGGTAATCCATAGGTCCAACACTTTCAGCATTAACAATGAATTGTAACGCTGGAAATCTGCCTGAATTACCTTGTCCCTCTGTGCTGCTTGCCTGCTCCTGGCTTTTGACCTCCAAGGGGTCACATGGTGTGAGGGTAAGTGTGATCACCTGATCATCAGCTGCAGGGATTTCCTGACTCCAACCTATGCAAGTTAAACAAGAGTTCTGTTATGCTTACTTAGAACAAAGAGGTCAACCAAGAGCTTCAACTGTGCCCGATTTAATCTCTGAGAATTGTGTAGTCCTATTCTTCTATTTGATTTGTGGTCACTTTAGATTACAGGATTATTATTATTATTATTATTGATAGTTTACTGTCTTCTATAGTAGATATCTGTAAATCTGTGTTTGATTTTATGTGACTATATCAAATAAATACAATAAGTACACTGTTTATACAGGAAAAAAACACAGAATAATCAATCACCATCAACATTTAATGGTTTTTTTTATTGGTTTTCTACTCCATCTGCATCTTAAGCTCATAATTTGAGAGTATATTGATATTCATATTAACTTCTAGTTTGCAAAATCTTACAAAATGGTTTTTCAAACCAAACACTAGTTGTGAACTGTAAATTCAAAAATACAGTGCATCCATCTGACCTTCACAAATAGACTCATAAAATGAGCCCATCTTCTGGAGTGAGTTCTGGGTAGGGTTGGGTATCGGTTGGGTTTTATCCGATACTGGTGCCTACTCAGTATTTTTTAAACGGTTCTCGAACCACTACTTAAAAAAACGAAACCACACACACTTTGTCAAAAAACAATACCCTTTTATTTCCAGGGCCAAATTGAACACAATATTATGAGTTTCATATTAAGCAGAAAGTCAGCGGACACTGAGTGGACATAGCACACGTTGTCACTCACGCTGTTGAATGGCAACGGTGTTTGCTAGCCTACTTGACATGCATGATTTGCGGTTGGTATTAAATTACTAAACTTACCCGAAGAGGAAAGACTGCTGTCATCATCATCTGTGATGTCCACCACCACACTGGCAGGGCTGGGGGTCTCTTCAATTTGTGCGGCGAGGCCGACACTGGCTGCGGCTGCTGAAGTGCTTGGCCTTGCGTCACGTAGGTTATCAAACACGGTGCATTGTTCGGCTTTTAAATAAACTCCATGTGTCGCCAGATGTATCATCAAATTCGACGTGTTACTCCCTTGCATGCAATTGTTTTATGGCATCTGTTGCATGTCGCAGAGTCTGCATCCTTACACGTGAAATGCAGCCAAACCTTGGAGCATTTTGCCTTCGGCATCTTCATTGATCCTCTCACTATCAGTTCTGATCAACAAGTGTGCTGAGTAGCGGCACTGACATCACGCAAGTTGACACCGGAACACCAGGGGGCGGTAAAAAATAAAGTATGAATACAATTAAACTTTGTGGCACATTTATGGCACAGGTTTGCCATCTACATAGAAAGGAATGTTAACATTTGTGATTCTATGACTGAATAGGTCATATGTACATTGTATGTACAAGTGCTTTGAGTCATATGAACAGGGTTCATATTACATAGCACCAGTCACCAGCAAAATTCTGGTAAAATGTGCGAGTGGTATCACTCACCAGTAAAAAAAAATCAGTGGTAATCTATTGAGTGACTGGTAAATTAAAAACTAAATAAAATTACATGAATTAACATTAACTATCCATTGGCCGATGGACAAAAATGTTAATTTTGAAATCTGAGTATGAATGAAGTTCTGATCTTGTAGTGGCATGCTCTCTTGGTCATAAATGGTACCACTTACTATAATTTATTTTCTAGATTATCTGGACAATTGTTTTATATGTTATATAAAAACGGTACATACTACATACCAGGACTATAGCTTCATCCTTAATGGATGCCAGGTTGTGGTTCTTTTTAAGGCCAACCACCCATTCCTCTCGCTTCTTGTCAAACTTTTTCAGTCTTTTCTTCAGTCGCTGCTTGGCATGCTGCTCCATTTTACAATATGTGCATTTTCTTTGGGCACAAAATAAAATGGCCTCACAAAAGGGGCACTTCTTTTGGATCGAGCCCCCTGGCATGATAAATGACTGACAGACAGAAAGGCAGACAGGCAAACAGACAGACTGACTGACCCAGACAGACAGACAGAGAGACAGACTGACTGACCCAGACAGGCAGATAGATAGACAGGCAGACTGACAGACAGACAGACAGACAGACAGACAGGCAGTTAGATAGATAGATAGATAGATAGACAGACAGACTGACAGGCAGACAGATGGATGTGGCCCTTAACCCTTAGATGCATAAGTGGGTCTAAAATGACGGGGTGAGGTCGTTTTCTTGCAATATCTTTGTAATGAAAAGTTGTTATCGTTTCATATTCCAGGTATTCCTCAAAAAACATGTTACTGATATAATGCCATTTCAATTTTTACCTTTTATACATTTTATGAAATTGTAGTTTTTGTATTACTACCCCAAGCTTCCATAAGTGGGTCAAAAATGACCCGCATTCATTTCTTATGGGATTTCATGGGAATCTTTGATTCTTATCAACTGTCAGGAATATGTATTTTGTGGACCACACAGACTATATCAGTGTCAGTGTCACCCCTTAGGAAGATTATTTTACACAGCAAGATCTGATACATGTAAGGATTGTCTTCTTTTTTACCTCAGAAATGTGCGTGTGTGTCAATCATGTCTACTGTGTGAAAGAGTATGTGTTATCATCCATCATCAAATGTGTCTATTTCATTGTTTGCTAAACTAGCTACCTAACCAAGCTAGCTAACATTACTGTATGTTACGTGTCTGTGCGTCTGTGTTTGTGTGCATTTATTTATATAGCTACTTATTGATCAATAGGTTTGCTTGTCATTCAAAAAAACTTCTCTTCCTTTTTATGTTTTCTTATCCAAGGTGTCATGGCTGCTAGGTATACAGTTGAAATGGCCCTACAGATGCTGGATGAAGAGGCAGTTATGGAATTTGACTAGAACCTGAAATACACACACACACACACACACACACAATGGATATTGACATTGTTCTATTGCTGTTGTGTAATTTTGTGATGTTGACAGTTTTCAGTTTTTTTTCAAAATGTTAAAAATGTTAAAATATTTAAAATATTTCATACGTGTAATCATTCTTGTGTGGACCAAAATATAATACAAAGCATAATACAAATGATTATTCTTAACTAAAATGACAAAAATGGCATAAAAACCCACTGATCCACTGATTCTAATACGAGTCATTTTTGACCCACTTTGGTATAGGGTCCAGTCACTCATGCATCTAAGGGTTAAAAGTGCCTTTGGGTATTAAAAATTTCGACGATAACGTGTGATGGGGGTTGACTATACAGGAGCTGCAGGGAGAAAAGAAAAAAAACGTCATCCATCAATCACAAACAAAGTTAGCAGCAATGTGCACTTTTGGTTTGCAAAAAAAATACAATATTATTATAGCCAATACCTAATGATAAGAAAACCATATCAGCTATGCATTAACATTAACTCACATTGCACCTGTGCCTGGGAGGGTTTTATTAACTTTGGTTGATTCTGGACAAATTTATTGTGAAAGTGTCATATCACACAGTTATCACAGTTTTAATGATAATTAAGTTTTGAAACGGTAGCCTAATATGAACTGTCAGGAATTCTACCATGGTTTACCTTTAAACCGTTATCTTACGACTTTTATTTTGAAGGACCGCACGGAAGACCAGAAGTAGAGAGGGTTTTGTTGTACTTATTTTAGCGGGTTTTTCTTTATCTCTATGGCGGACTTTTGCCGGTATAAGACCAGGAAAGCACCACTAGAGCATAATAAATTCTTTAAAGACAGCACCTTACCTGTTTTCTACACAACTTCACACAGAGCAAAGTAAAACCCAAAACAGTTCACTTTAAAAGTGATCCACAGTGACAGATGAAATGACAACATCTAGACAACTCCGCTTAGAATACAA